CTTCGGGATTAGTTTAAATAGGACACCGTTTGCAAAACACAGACAAATAAAATAAGCTCCATTGATATTTTCTAATTTAGGGATACGCAGCTTCAAAGACATCTCGTAGTTACGACAGAAATACCTCTCTCAACTCTATTTGTCCCAGTGTTTATGTGAACCAACCTGCTAATTTCGTTTTTAGTAAAAGCTACTGTGAGATCGACGTTTAAAACACTTTCATCAACTTCCTCTCTGCTGGAATTCGTCGACTTCGAGAAAACATTCCATTCAGATTACCACTGTTCCGTACTGGATTCCTTGATGAGGCAAGGAATCGAGAAGGGATACAGAGGCCTCATCACCACAATTTACAAGAATGCATCGGCTAGTGTGAACCTTCACGAAAGCACGTGCAACTTCGAAACCAAAAAGGACGCTCGACATGGTGATGTAGTATCACCAAAGCTATTCACAGTAGCCCCAGAAGAAGATATCAAGATACTCCACTGGAAAATACAGGGCTGAAGACAAACGGGCAGTATTTAAACCACGTATGATTTGCGGACGATATTCTGATCTTCTCAAAATCACCAGAAGAATCCAAGAGCAGAGCCAGCCATAAAGCAGGACTAAAAACAAATCTGAAGAAGGTTCAGGTCGTGTTTAATAAATACGTCAATTCGCCTATGGTTGAAGTGAATCGACTTAGGCTTGAAGAGGTGCAAAACTCTGTCAATCTGCGACAGCTCATCTCTGCAACAGAAAATCTACTCTGCGAAATTAACCGAAGAATAAAAATGGTATGCAATTCTTTTGGAAGATTGATAATGTCTTAATCAGGAAAACTGCCCCTGTGTTTTAAACGGAAAGTTCTCGATGAGATGTGTCACAAGTGCTAACATATGAAATCGGAACGTTTAACCTACGCCTGAAAGCTATTCATAAACTGAGACTACGCAAGACAGCAGTGAAACGTGCATGTTGGAAAAAACAAAAGAGGTAATTATTGAATGCATAACAGTATAAACAAGAGATTGCGACGTCACTGTCCTGGTGAATAAGTTAAAGTAACAGTGGAAAGGACACGTTGCAAGAAAAACTGACCACCGCAAGACCGAAGAAACATTCGGCTAGGATCCAAGAGAGTAAACGGCTTGTTGCAAGACCTCCAGATCGATGACAGGATGAGCTGAAGTTCGTTGAATCAATACAGATAAGAATCACAGCAAATAGAAGTTTACCACAAAGTCCTAGAGACCTTCATCCAGCAGTGGATCGAAAAAAGTCGATGATGATTAGTATCCCAAATGAACCTTCATAAATTGTGAAGAAAGTTCATAAATTTTGTTGTCACTGCAGCCCTTTTATGTTTATCATTCTGAAGCTAAGCCTGTGCTGCTACCTTCTGAGCCAGCCGTTCCTTGCGGAATAGGGAAACAATGTCTTTAGCAAATCCCAAAAACTGATTCCAAACAGGATCAAGCGAATGTCTAATATAGTCAAAATTCGGGTGTTAGTTTTGCACTTGGTCATCAGCCTTCTGTCTCGC